TCGACGATTTTAATAGTCGACGTAATCGTGACTAGTCGACTAATCGTGGCAGCCCTACCCACTCCGTGGGTTTTTTAAAATTATTTTCCTCTTTCTTTATTCTCCTACATGTTTTGGCTGTTAGCTGGAGAACTTGAACTTCATCTTGTGATGTTTGCACTTGCTTTCTTTCAAATGGGACATTATGATGACTTATTTGATTTTTCCATTTAAGGAGTGGGAAGGTGACATTTAAGGCTTTATATGCTGGCTTTATAGACAGCTAAGGTAAATGATTGTGGTTGAGGGTTAGATTAATCAACAAAGGTTATATTTTTGTTATGTCTGTAGAAAATACAAATAAATAAATAATATTAATGCTTTCTGTCACATTCATCTGTAAGTTCATTTGTCCTTTTTGGCAAATGAGGTCAACTCAGACTGTAAATGTGTAGAGTTGGCGAGAGAATCAAAAACATACAAAAAGAACAGTTACACAACTAATTGTGATTTTTGGCTAATGTGATGTGGACATTTCATTCTTATAAATGCTCTTTATTGTGACGCCTGTGCCTGCATTTTTTCCTGCATTGGTGTCTGAACACCATCAGGATACGTTGGGTTTTGTTTAGAAATGTTCAAGTCAACAAGCGAGGGACTAATTATCAAATTAGCATTCCTGTTGGGGTAGTTTACCTTTAGTTGCATTTGAATTTCCATGAGTTTTACTATATCATGATTTATATCCTGCTGATTTTATAGTGTATTTTTTACTTTTTTGTCATTTTCCAACTTGAATTTTAGCGTCTGATTCAAATAATTTGTCTTGAAACGGCTCCTTTGTCTGATTATGTGACACTCGCATTGTTATCTTTATTTCTGATAATCCTCAGCTTTGTAAAATCACATTACCCAAGGGAAAAAAATGTGCTGCTTCAAGTTTTACTTTTAATGATTCAAATATGGGAGGAATCTTTGCTGCAATTTCACATGCCTGCTTTGGTGCTTTTTTTTTTTTTTTTAATTAAACAAATGGACTGTTCAGCTCAGGCACAGCTGAGTTTTTCTTACTCAAGAGCTGCTGCTCAGTGGCAGCTGTTAACAGAGGAAAATGTGTCTCGGTATACAAGGCCTGATTTTCCCTCCAAGACAGATACTTTGTTATTTGTGCAAACTTTGGTTTGCACTTTGATAACATTGTAACATTGCAAGTGTACAAAACGGTTTAGTCACATGCACATGTGCACACACCAGTGCAAGGTGCTGGCCTAGTGTCTAACCAAGGACTCCTCAGCAGATGAGCCTGAACTATCACAGCTGCTTGTTGTGGTGTTTGTGTTTAGTAGCTGGCTGTATTTGAAACATCAACCTTCAGTTATAGTGTTTCGTATAGTTAAATGTCAAAATTATTTTCAAATGCATGGAATTTTAAAAAAGGAATAAGTAAATGTGACCTTTAGTTTGACAGACTGAGCACATTTGGTGTCATCTTTACATTTTATTTTATACCTCTGAATGATCATTTCCTCTGGCTCGTTTTCTGTCGTAAATAAGCTGTCATTCACATTTTAAACCACGAATCGAGGCCTTTACTTTTACTTTTGCAGTGTTAAAAATGTCTCAAATTAGATTTGTATTCAAGAATTATTGGAGTGGAGCACCTGTGCACTCAGTCTGAGGATTTATAAAGAGTTCTTTCATCTTCCTCTTTTCCAACCTTTCTTCTTCTGCTAAACAGGCAGGGGTCATTTTGTCTACAGCGAAATCCACTGCATAAGTGCAGAGGTGAAAAACTGTGTGTGTGTTTGTGGTAAGACCTTGACCTTGACTGCAGTCCCTAATGGAGAGGCTGTTCCCCTGAATGACTCAAACTCCCCCCGCCGTACAGCGGTATGTAGCAGCCCATAAAGCATGCTTATGGCCCACTCTGGTTTCAGGGAGTGGAAGCCCGACCCCGCCCCTTCCTCACACTCTGAAATAGCCGCGTCCTTGTCCCCACACGGAGCACAGTGCGAGTCGGGGTGTATATATGCGGCTGTGGTTGATTGAGGAGCAGATTGCTGGTGACAGGTCACACTGCGTTCCGTCCCTCCGACCCCCCCAGATTAGCGACCTGAGGTCCCCACACTGCCCTCCCTTCCTCTGGGCCCCCACCTGTTAGGATCCCTCTGCTGCTCAGAGCTTTCCTCACGCACACACACACAGTGGTCAATCTGCATTTACAGAATTCTCTTATTTCTCCGTCAGTCAACCAGAAGGTTATAAAGGCCATTACAAGTCATTATGGTGTGTGTGTGTGTGTTGCCTGACTGTGAATTTGTGTGGGTTGAAAAGACGCCTGTCACAGCATGCTCTCATAATTGCCCTCTTAGCCAATTATCCCCCATTTAAAGCAAATCACCTGCTCTGCTCCCATGTCCACACACATGTGTACACACACACACACACACACACACACACACACACACACACACACACACACACACACACACACACACAATAAATAACACGGAAACTTAATATTTAATCATTTCATCTTCCTGAGTGACATGTTTGTTTACTGTGCTCGTGTTGTGTTGTTTTTGTTGTTGGCATCATTCATAGTGTTGTCTTCTCTTTTCTCCAGATTTTGATGCACACGAAAGACATGGTTCAGAAGGTCAGTCATTACCAAGTTGTTCCTGTTTAATATCTCTAATATGATATGTAATTATGTGCAGAATAACGTAAAATGTACAGGACAAATAATCCTTTTAATAATGACTTCTTTACTGGATCAGGACGCCTGGATTCTTGCATCTGTATTAAGCAGCTAAATGATAAACTTTGTGTTAAATATCATTTAATTAGCCAAATCTAACATGAGATTGTTTTAGAAATTGTGCAGTTTGATGTGTGTAATATTCACTTTATTATCCCAGTTTTAACTGTATGAATTCTTTCTTTCTTTCTTTTTGTCTCTCTCTCCTCCCCTTTTGTGTGACTCAGATGAATCTGGAAGTCATCTATGGAGATACTGACTCTATCATGATCAACACAAACAGCAAGTGTCTGGATGAAGTTTTTAAACTTGGCAATAAGGTGTGTGTGCTTTGGGTGTTTTATCAGTTTTTACATGCGCACCATGCAGTGGAGATTATAACCAGATGTTGACACTGAATCTGTGTGTTTGCACTTTGATCCCAGGTGAAGGCAGAAGTAAACAAGCTGTACAAACTATTGGAGATCGACATTGATGGTGTGTTCAAGTCTCTTTTGCTGCTGAAGAAGAAGAAGTATGCCGCCCTTGTGGTGGAACAACACGGAGAAGGACGTTTTAGCGTCAAGCAAGAGCTCAAAGGGTTGGACATCGTCCGTAGGGATTGGTGCGACCTGGCTAAGGAATGCGGCAAGTACGTTAGCATGGGAAACAGTTAGCGCGTCAGTATATGGAGCACTGGAAGCACCTTACAAAAGATTTTCATTTGTAAGGAAAAATTCATTGTCTTTATTTATTTTTCTAGCTACGTGATTGGGCAGATCCTGTCTGATCAGAGTCGTGATGTCATTGTGGAGAACATCCAGAAACACCTGGTGGAGTTGGGAGAGAAGGTGGCTAGTGGAGACATACCACTGAACCAGTATGAGATCCACAAGGTGAGGGAATCACTGTTTGAGTGTTTACTTTTCATTTGATTAAAATGAGGCTTAAGACTCTGGACATGCTGGGGGTTTTTTTTGTTTTGCCATTCCCATTCTCATCTATTACTGCTGTCTTGTCTTGACTTCACCAGGCACTCACAAAGGATCCTCAGGACTACCCTGATAAGAAAAGTCTCCCTCATGTCCACGTTGCTCTGTGGATTAACTCTCAGGGTGGTCGTCGGGTCAAAGCTGGAGATACCATCTCCTACCTCATCTGTAAAGTGTGTATCTATTAGAGAAACGGGAATATCTCATTTCTTTGTGTGTTTCAGTGATATTTCAGTACAAATACATTGGAAACGCATCTTCTTTGTCCACTAGGATGGCTCCAACCTACCAGCCAGTCAGAGAGCCTATGCTCTAGAACAGCTCCAGAAACAGGAGAATCTCACCCTGGACACACAGTACTACCTGGCCCAGCAGGTCCACCCTGTGGTGTCTCGCATCTGCGATCCTATTGAGGGTATTGACGGTGTACTCATAGCCTCGTGGTTGGGTGAGTGAATTACAAGTTATTGCAGACCCCAGAAGTGAGTAATGTTATGCCTTATGGAAAATAATTACAAAAAAGTTTAAAGGAGCCGTGTTACTTAGAAATAAAATGACCAAATTGCTCGAGGAAGTTCCTACAGATGAAAATACTGCTTTTTGAAAAACTGTTTTATGGATTAAATCATTACTTGGATTCACATTTTATGCACGTTTCCTCTCTTGTCGCGGAAGACATAATACCTACTTAATAATCTTGTCAAGTGCTGCAAATTATTTCCAGTTTCACTACAATACATTTCCCGTAAACACTCAAATGAAGTGTCTGTGGGTCACAGTTTAATTTTTTAAAAATAATAATAACATCTGTAGACAGCCGAACAGCTAAATACAGAATGCTTAATTGCAGCATGACCACCTTTCATTGGTGTTTATCAGGCATGAAATATTTTGCCTTCAGCCGTGTTTCTGAATAAACATTTGCTCTGCTGTAAACCTTAAAAAACAAGTCTTTTATTTCTATGTCAGGTCTGGACCCGAGTCAGTTCAGAGCTCAGCAGCAGTTCCAGAGGGAGGAGGAAGCCGACGGCTTGCTGGGTGTTCCCGTCCAGCTGACTGATGAGGAGCGCTATAAAGACTGTGAGAGGTTTACTTTCACCTGTCCTCAGTGTGGCACTGACAACATCTACGACAGCGTCTTTGAAGGAGCTGTGAGTAGATGAACACACCGCTGTCCATCATAAAACTCCTCTGTATTGCTTTCTGTGTTTGTGCAGGACCAGATAATCTTTCTTAGAGTTGTATTTGAAGTCGTATTAAACCCTTGGCAGTTTAGACTTCAGCTGAAGAAATGCGCCGTCTGTTCTCAGCGCACACACACAAAGCACCTCGCAGATATGGCCGAAGATTGAAAGGGGAAAAAGGAGATGGCTTGTATCAGTAATGGTGTGTTTCACTGGTCTAATGGATTAATCAGAAACACAAATAAAGAGCGGGAGAATAATGTTTCAGAAGGCATTTCAGTAAAACTTCCTGTGAAGGATTCATGCGTTAGTCATCCTCCATATTGTGTCTCTGTCTGTATTTTAAGACAGCTGCCTGGCTCCAGTACGGACTCTGTTTTCATTGGCATAGTTTGGACTCCACAACTTGAAAAGCCTTTCCTTAACCCCTGTGGCTCTATGGAGACACACACACACACACACACACACACACACACACACACACACACACACACACACACACACACACTGATCTCCTACCATTTGTCAGGCCAAGGTTTTGTGTGTGCGTGTGTGTTATCAGCTTCTAATGAGGAGCAGGACACACAGCTTTTTCTTGTCTAGAAGACACTAATAAAACTGACAAGCCTTTGGCCTCGAGTGGTGGAGAAAACTTGTAATAATTAAAACGGGAGTATTAAACACACTCTCCATAAAAGGATAATATCATTACACACTTGAACAGATATGCTGGTGTGTTGTTGCACAAGAAAAAGCAGAATAATCTCGCCCGAGTGATTGTGCTTGTACTAAACGGCCTGCGTCCTGCTATTAAGAGTACAATGCATGAACTTGAAATGTCAGAATAAAATATAGCATTAGTCTAAACGAACCAGGAATCATCTGATTACTGATGTTAATTCTCCTCTCTGTTGCCGGAGGCCGGTATGCACGCAAACACAGTGATACGGATAAGACGGTAAGTTAATTAAGGTGGTGAGCATGGTCTAACAGCTCAGAGAGAGAGGGGAGGACAGATGGGCCTTGACTCCTCCGCTGACACCGAGCCAGAGATGGTAGGAGGAGGCGGTGATGTATGATGGAGGACAGACAGAGGAGGAAAGTTGTTTGATGGAGGTAGCGGGAGAGGAGGATGAAAAGATTAAGAGCAGAGAAGGGGAAAAAAATGTGGATAAGGCTGCAGGGGAATACCCTCAGTTCAGTTTTAATAGAGCGTTAGGTATCCCACGCAGGCAGTTAAATCAGCACGCTGTGAAAGCTGCACAAAGACGTTGACAAAATGGCCTGCTTAGGCAGTTGGCATGGCAAACCTTTTAAAATTGTTTTTCAAAAGCCTATTTAATGTGCAGACATGAGGCGATCCAGATAACGGCCGGGGTTTGTAGCCAGACATTGAGGAGAACTGGGAGTGTTAGAAGATATCATCCCCTTCTCATAAGTCTCGCACAGTCACAAGACGGTACTTTGAGTGTTTCATATTTTCATTTAATTGCCCGGCGATAAAATGACTAACAAGAAAGTGTTGTAGTAGATACAACTTGTTTTGAAAGGAGAGTCTGCTCTTGAAAGTAAACTTTTGAAAGAAACACGTGAGAGATAAAGAAGACGAGGGGAGGAGATTAGACAGACTAAAATGAGAGAAGGAAAGTAAGGCTAAGATGTGTGTACGTGTGTGTGTTCTTGGTGTGACTGGCTATTAGAGAAATCAAATGAGTTGATTGACTCCAACTGGTAGAAAACTGTGTTTCTTTTTTTTTTTTCTCACTCCTAAAGAAGTGATGTAGGCAAACAAAAAGCCAGTGTGTGGCTGGGTGGGGGGGTGTCACATGCATTCTTTTATGTCACAGACTTCCCTGCAGAAACCTTTTTTTGCGGCTGTCAGTGCGACAGGTAAATGGAGTTGAGGTTTAAAGGAGCAAGTGTTTAAAGGCGTTATATTTAGTGTAATTGGTATGTAGTGCGTCTACTTTTTTCATTGCATTAACTATAAAGCTCGCTGTCAAGTGAACAATTCAGGGGAACCAAGGTCATGTTGACCTGTTTTCTTCAGGCTACAATAACGTTAAAATCTACTGGACCCAGGGTTTCTTTAAGCTCCTCTGTGTGTGACATGGTCTTTGTTAAGGTTTAAAGGTAATGGTTGTGTTTGTGTGTTGGAAAACTGTGTTTGCTGATTACAGGGTTAAATATGGAGCTGTGATGAATTCATATAGTATGCATATAAGGCAGTTACACTATAGTTGATGTTTGCCCTTAGAGGCCATTGTACCTGCTGAAGCATTTTAGTACATGTGCATGCAAACTGTAGGAGGAATTTTAAATGTCTCCTGATTTGTGGTTCCCTTTTCTTTTTGTTACCATCAATAAAATAAAGCTACTTTACTTCATTACAGGATGATGCGAGCTTAGTGTACGTGGTTACATGCGGTTTCTTTTCAGGAATGTAATACACACTCTTTTTGTCAGGGTTCAACGGTTGAGCCTAGTTTGATGCGCTGCTGTCACATCCCTTGTGGAGGTTCTCCAGCTGACTACGTCGTCAACATCCGCAACAAACTTGTGCTTGACATCCGCCGCCACATCAAAAGATACTACGCGGTGAGTATTTCTGTTTGTATTCCCGTCTGCCTCTGATAGTCACATTTTGATGTGCAGCTGATTCCAGATAACTGGATTTCTGCTGTTTTTTATTTTAGTTTTCTTTAACCCTTGTACACTAATGCCAAGTGATTATTCATTGTTTTGCTTTGAAGCCTTAATCGGTTGATCTCTTATTTCAGTTTGAGATGTATGGGTTGAAATGAAAGCAGAGTACTTCAATTTGACATGTATTTTTGTGCATTAATATATTTCATTGGCTAAAATATGCCAAGTATTAAATATAGTATTACAAAACTGCACATCAAGGTTCTAGGGTTAATTAGTTTGAGTGCTTTCCTTATTTATTTATTTAAAATCTTTCTCTGTAGTAATACAAATTTGTTCATTCAATCCAAAATGTTCCTTTCCAAATGTTAAAAAACAAAACAAAAAAATAAACAAGTGTGTCTTGAGTCCACAACGCTGCATTTATGCTTGTTACCTACGACAGCAGCACGTTACTAAAGTATTAAATAAAGGATTTGGCTGACAAAATACAAGCTCAAGTGGTCACAGAACATGAGCTGTGTGTAATGAAATCGTCAAAACTCGCTAAAATTGACCTTCCACAAAGTGTCTGTGAAAGGGTTGGACTGTATTTAACACAATGGGGGATGCAACAGATGCAGTCATGTTAAGAGAAGCTATCAAAAGGATGTTGGGCAAAAGATGAAGAAAACCTCAGCAGGGCACTGTGCTGACATTTTCAACCAAAGAGCACACTGAGCATGTAAAATGGAAAAGAGCTCCAGAAGGATATGTCGGCGCATGATCATGGAAATAGTTAAATGGCCATTTGTACTCTGAATACCAAGTTTAAAACGCACACGCAGTTTTAGATGATAAGGTGAAATTTAAATGATAGATGTGGGAAACAGGGTCATTAAGGTATGAGCAAAAACTTAAATTACTTTAAATCAAACATAATGGACTTTAAAGATCAAGCAGATTTGTCTCAATACAAGACACCCACTTACTTGAAAGACTATTTACAATTTTTATTTGCTGTATGTTTTTCTAGCATAAATCATTTTTGCAGGTTGTATTTAAGCATTTATGGAAGACGTGAAAGTGTGAATCATCATCTCTCACTGGTACCTATTCATATTTTCAGCTGTGCATTGAAAGACGATGACATGGTTGTCAAATATACATACCTATAGAAATTACGCCAGTATATTTGCATTATAAAGAAGTGCAACTGTAAATAACAGCAGCCTTTGTTCAAATCTAAGGATACTTTTCTGACAAATAGAAGAAGGCTTACATACAGTTTGATTTTCTCTGCAAAAAAACCACCAGTTGACAGTTTTATCAGTGCCATGTCATCACAAAACGACAGCCATTAGAAAATTAACGAAGAAAAGAAGGAACAAGGCGCAGAAGAAGACGGACAGTGTGTTGGTTGGACACTATTATAACAACAAGAAGAAGATTGGTCTTCCTACAAAATGTTTATCCACTGTGTCTCTATGGTTTGGAAATGAACAGATGGCCTTGACGAACTAAATATTTTGTCAAGTTGGGAAAGCAATGTTTCCTTTTACATAGAAATGTTTCTCTATTCCTTACGGTGAGAAGTACAGTTTATTAATTACAGTTCTCGGTATCGACAGATGCCTTAACCCTTTAAAGCCGGTCGGAGCAGGCACGCTCTGTTTTGCTTAACTATTTTTAAATCCC